CATCACACACCCTAGCTCAGCTGAGGACTCTGCACGAGTTTGCTGCTCTTTTCCAGCATAGGGAAGTAGACTAATGTGTGCCTAAATCTCTGCTAACATCTCTTCCAAACCATGAGACTCTCTTTGTGATTCACTTTGTAGGATTATCCAGGAATCTGTGCTTGCTCAGCAAGTGACTTTTTCAACATTATCAACTGTGAAAGTCCTTTTCTTCTGAAGTGTTGGGTTTTTTTAAAAAAAAGTTTCTCAATGGAGAGCATGTCTGAGCAAGTTGTTATTTTTCAGCCTCCAGCCAAATAAGATGAAGCCTGTATCTTTCTGTTTTTCACAGTCTTCCTCCTCAGAACTACATTGTTCCCATAAGCTCTCTAGAATAATTTAGAGTAAAGACCAACAGGGAAAATTTCAGCCAAGAAGGTGAAAGTTTTCCCCTTCTTCTGCCTGAAGCTTATGAGTGAATAGAAATGATGATAGCAGTAATTTTCATTCCAAATGTAGTGGGAACATGGTTATGAAGTAAGGAGCAAAGATTAGTGTAGACGGTGAGGACTGAATGTGCTCCAGGGATCTCACACTGAGCAGACAGTTTAAGGAAAGAGAGGCTGCAGTTGTTTGGACTTGGAGTTATCAAATGACAAATGCACCAGTCTGGAGATGTCACTCCATGCAATGGAGTAAATGAAGGTGGGTGTGATGGGCACCTCTCCCTACTGTCACCCAAGACTTGCTTCAGATGTTCTCTCTCAAGCTGGTATTTCACAGATGTGTCTTTGGAATATGATCACACTTTTTTTTCCCCACTTTAACTTTCAATAAAAAATCTTCAGCTTTACTTGGTCCTTAAATCATCAGGGAAAAGACAGGATTTCACTGTGAAAGACATTTCGCTTCCTTGTATTTATTTGTATTATTTCCTTGTATTTAGCTTGTTTGCACAACAAACAGTTAACTTAAAGCTTGTCATGTCTGTAATCATCTGTGGAGGCTGATCATTTTGAATTTAAGAAAAGGGGAAAGCTATCTAGGTTACTGATTAACTGTTGTATTTTTGGTACATCCTTATTTTTTATGATCATGTTTCTAGGGCTATCCTAGGAATCTAAAAAAAACTAACATCACCTGACTTATCCTCTGTGGTTACTACTGCCCTTTGGAGGTAACCAGTGATGTGTTCCTACAGCAGCTTCCTTGGGGCAGTAATTATAGAAATTCTGGTTGGAGGGGAGATGTGGAGGTAGTCTAGTCCACTTAAGATGCATTTTTCACAGGCACCAAGATTTTCATGGATCATCTGTCACACTTCTGTTAGCTCTCACTGAGATAAGTTTTGGGATTTGCTATAACAGTTACCCATCAGTATAAAAATATGTGTGCCCATGCCTGACTCTATTGTCCTGGGGCCAGGACTCAGGATTTTAGGTTTGGTTAATTAGTACTTTGCTTTCATTTCAAAACTTCAGGGCATAGATGTTTAAAATGGCTTTGTAGAAATACCCTTTCCCAGACTGTGTGAGAATTTGCTTTATATACAGGTATACTTTTGTGACCAGTCTCGGTGGATTTAGATGGTTTCCAGAAATCAGTGTTGCTCAATTAAATGTACAGAAGAAAAAGATTCATTAGAACAATGTAAATTCAAGATGAACAAGACAGCACTTTTTTTAGGTTTTACTGCAAGTGAACACTGAATTTCCTTTTGTTCTGTTTTTTAATAGATTTTTTTTTTTTTTTTTAATGTGCAAAAGTAAAGGAAATCCTCAGTGTACAAACTGGGAAGTAGGTGTACAGCAAGAGAGATAATTGCATAGTATTCTTCAAGGACAAAAGTTTTTTGATTCTGCTGTATTTCTAATTTGAAACATTTACACTATTTTCCTAAGATAACAGAGTAAATAACAGAAAATCAAAAATACAAATCAGCTGATGAAATGCAATAGAAGACATCAGCTCAGCACACTGCAGAGCAAAACAGTCAATCACACTGCAATCACTAGCAGCCTGAACAGTAAATTAACATTTCACTGGGATAAATGAGAGGTGAATAAACATATATATATATGTAAATATAAACTAAGTAGAAATAGACATGATTATAGATGAGTAAATATGTGAAATCAGCATCAGTTAAGCAAGTACACTTAATAATTGCTTCCTGTTACATGTTAAGACAATGTGCCAAATACTGCAGGCAGCAGCCATTGTGTCTTCAAAGGCATTTTCTGGATTTTGAGCTGTTTTCTGTGCATGGTCCTGGGGCTCCCTTCACCAAGGATGGTCAGTTCAGTATGCCTGTGCGTGATGAAGTCTGTGGTCAGGTCTGTGATATTCCTTTACAGAAGCTTGTTGAGGCCAGAGCATGTGTACCCACTTCTGCATGGACAGTGCTGACCTTGGTGGATCCACCATCTGCAGAGGCCTTTTGGTAATAAAGCTCAGCAAGCAGCAATAGTAGAGGTCCAGGCACGCAGCTTAGTGTCTCAGCTGTGACCTCCAGATCACCTGGGTTTGAGGTTGGTGTGTCCCATGGTGCCTGTGATCTATGTGGGCAGTTGGTGAGCTCCTTAGCTCACAACCACAGTCCACATTGAGTATCTGATGTTGCAAGTTTGAAGGGGTCTGCTGTCCTGCTGCCTCTGGAGGGGCATACCACCAGCCCCTCTGCTAAGCATGTTCTCAGCTAGTGGTGATGACAGCTGATGTGACCTTGTCCTTCACTCTGAAGCTGTGGTGGGTTGACCTTGGCCAGCTGCCAGATGTCCACCCAGCATCAGAGAACTACCTGCTCCACTGTGTTGTCTTCATGGGCTTCAGGAGGGTCTCTGCTTGGGAGCCTGGAGCTCCTCATGCCCCTCGGACCTGAGTGCTGGCAGGGCTGTTTCTCATGGTTTTTTTACGTCACTCCTTACTGCCATGAGGAATTTTGTCTCTTCTTAAACCTGGTACCACGGAGGTACCACCGTGATGAGCATGGCTGTGCCCTGCTGTGTGACTCTTGTGAGACTGGCTGCGTATAGCACAGGGCAGCCCTGACCTCTCCTCACAGACCCCCTCCTGCACCTCACCCTGACACCCCATAGAGATGTGGTGTGTGTACAAAGTGTCCTGGGCACTCAGCAGTCTCCCAGCTCTGGGCCACACACGTTGGAGTAGGGCAGAGTGGCTTCTGCACTTTGCCAAAAGCAGCAGCAAAAGCAGCAAGGAGTCACTCCATGACATGATGTGGGGGACGGTGAGGGTGTGTGTAAGCAGTTAATGTGGGCTAAACCAGAAGGTGAAACTGGGATTAAGGATGTGCTATGGTTTTAGAAAAGCCTTTGGAGACTGCTGTTGAGTTGCGCTCTCTTCAGGTGGCAGGTGCCAGCTCACAGCTGTTGAGGGAGAGGTGCCACCTTCCAGTGCTCACCCCCTGGTCTGTCTGATCCTACCCTGACCCAGTGTGCTCCCTACCCTGCTTGGAAAAGAAGATAAAAAAGGGGCTTTCTGACAGGCTAGGGGCCCAAATCCTGCTCCACAGAGGCTCTAGTGACCCTGGAGCTGGCTTCCCAGTGTTGGGAAGCAAGGAGGGAAGGCGAGGGGAATGAAGAGCAGAGCAAGGCCCCTGTCACTTCAGCAGCTGTAAGCTTCCAGTCTGGTTCAACTGTAACTTGCAACTGCACCCTTAGCATTTTGATCTCTTAGATGTTAGGAAAATGCATTTAAAGCTTGTCTTTTGGAGTTGCTGAATCTGTATCCCTCCTAGATTGGGGAAATTTAGCCCAAACTTAGGTTTTCATCAAAAGCTTAGTATTTAAAGTTTAAAGCACCTGGGCTTACAGATGTCAGCCATCTCTCCTTCAAGGACATATTCATGTCTGTGTCCAGAATGTGAAGATGTGGAACCACCACCAGCTCTGTGGGGCGACATTAGTTGAGTGTCTTGGGATTGAGCAAGTGTCTTCTCTTGCTCCTTTCTACTTACTAGCAGCTGTCTCTGCCCTGTTTATAGGTCAGGTTCATCTTTGAAGTGGTCGATCAGAATTGTATTTGAAATGTGGCCTTAGTGTGACCAGTGAGCTGAATGAAATCATGGGCGAACTCTGTTAACTTCCTCTGTGGAGTTAAATGTTTTAGTGCTTTATTGGGATACAGGATCGTCAAATGCTTTTGACTGTTTCAAAGTGATCTTCAGATCACATACTGCAAAATTCTCTTCTACAGCGAGTGCAGAGGGAAAATACAAACGTCCAGTCTGGATGTCTAGTTTTATTCGTCCAAGCCTGTCATGTAAATCCAGAAGATGCAACTATATTTTAATGAAAATCTTTGATTATGAAAACGTTATATGATACTTCCACACACACACACACACACACACCATTTTTGCTGAGTCTGTCAGGCCTGAATGTCACTTTGATTTCTTTGCTGACTTTCACTTTTAGTGATTAGCTTCTTACCAAGCCCAGGCCTGCCTCTGCAGGTATCCAGATACTTATAGACTGTAGCACTTTTGTGTCAATCCACATTTAAAATGAAATTAAGGGTTGATATTTGTATACTTAAAACTGCAACTGTTAATTTTGATTAATATCTTAACAGCTTTCAGGAAAACTAACGTCAACGTATGGTACGTTTTGTAGATTTGGTGTGTCAGCTGTTCTGTAATTTCCAGTACTGTGACCATGTTATAAACCTGCAAAAATCAATTTATTAAAAAAGGAAGCCTTAAAAATAGTTCCAAATTGTCATGGACCTGAGTGAATGCCCAAGGGGCTGGGGGGAGCCCTGTATTGCCCTCATTTGCAGGCAAGCCAGATGGACTTTTTTCATTTCAGGAAGAAAAAGGTACTCAAGCAGAAACCATGCTTGTCATGTCAAAGTCTGTGCTGAATTTGTGTGGCTGAGGCCATTCAACCTGGATTTGCAGTAGGAGCCCAAATTATCTTATAGTTTAGATTAACATGACACATTCCATTCTTATCTGATGTTGTGTCTTCATGGGGGTGATTTGATTATTTTTCCAGGCAAGCCAACGTTTATGAAAGCTCCCGAAGATCAGATTGGGATTTCTGGAGGAGTGGCCTCTTTTGTGTGTCAGGCAACAGGAGAACCCAAACCTCGTATCACATGGATGAAGAAGGGGAAGAAAGTCAGTTCTCAGCGGTTTGAGGTAATTAAAAAAAAATAATAATTCAGTAATAAGTCTAATGCTTTCAGACCTTAATTACACAATAATCATCATTGCAACCTAGATATCTGCATCAGCAACTGTACAGAGTGTAGAGCTTTAGAATAAAGTGAATTTCCTGCCCCGCAGCAATGCAATCTGTGGAACAGGCATTGTCCTTTGAGCATGACACTGGAAGCACACACATAGGATGTCCTTCTTCAGTTGGGAGAACAGGGCTTACACTGAGTTGCATGGCTGATAAGAGTTAGCTCTAGCAGTAATTTTATGTTTGCGTTGTGAAAATGAATAAGGCACCTCCTTGGCTTGCTATGCCCAGTGAAATTCAGAAGCAGGATGCCAAAACCCTATTGGAAGGCTTTCTAAGTGGTGGCTACTGCTGTCCCTCCAACAAATGTGCTTGGAAGGGGAATGGCAAAGTCATCCTGAAGGATGAGTTGCCTTCCTTGTGAACCAAAGTCTGAGAGAAAAGAAGATGGAAGAGCAGGTATCAGAAAGGCGTTTTGAAAAAAGGTCCAGTTTGATTCATATTTTAAATGGCAAATACATTTTCACTGACTTTCTCCACCTTTTTCTCCACTTCCCTTTTTTGGAGTTGGGCTTTTTTTCCTGAAACTGCCCATGGAAATGTGACCCTCCCACGATTCTGCGGTCTTTCCTCGAATCCCCTGTCTTTGGTGGTTTTGCTTTTCTGATTGGAGCACGAGATGACTTTGTGGACCAGAATGGATTGATTCAAGTCACCAATTTAATAATGATTTTGTATGTGAGCAGAAAACCTTGATTAAAGAAATCAATTTTCATCTTGTTTTACATTGTTATTTTTCCCAAATAAAGGTTAAGTTTTGTTGTATAGTAATCATTTAAACATTCTAATTTGTAAGTAGATATAACCTTTATAGTGAATTTGGTACTTACTGTGGCTAACCAGAGGGCTATGCCATATTATATGCATTTATATGAGCAATTTTATACCTTTATTCATATCAGTTTTGATACATTATTCTTTTTATTCTTTTAGGAGACAGTGAATACTATCTTTTTTTTCCCCTAGATAACTATTAATTTTACCTCATTACTGAACTAGTCTTTATTTGGAGGAAAATTGGAATTGAGTTTAAATGGAAAAAAACCCCAAACAACTAATAAACAAGTCTGATGTACACATGCTGAGTTACTACACAAAAGAAGTACCCATCATTAGCAAAGGAACAGCATTTCTGGACTCCATGTCTGTGAGGTCCTTAGTAGCTGCCGCTCCCTCCTTCTCACACAGTGTTTGTTCAAAGGATTGTAAGGGCAAAAGAGCTTTTCTGCTCTTTCATCTCTTAGCTTTTTAGTCCTTATGACTGATGTGAATTAATCTCTGCATTTGACTTTGTCTTGTCTTAAGATCTGGCAGTAGCCTTGTCCTGCATAAAGGTTATAGAAAGTTTAGCATTTTTTAACAGTTTCATATTTAATTTTTTTAAAAAAAAAATCCTTAAAGTGTACTATGGTGATGTTCATATTTCTCTGTCCTGTCTGCTGCTATTGAACCCAAAATAGGTTTTTTTGCAAGCTGTTTCTAATGGCTTATTTCTTTCAGCATGAGGTATAACAGATTTTCGGTGGTCTTGGTTACCTTTTGATTTCTTCCAATCTCTTCTGTCAATGCAGACTCTTATTGTGCACGTTATTTATCTCCTTCCTGTTTTCACTCATCTGGTCTTTATACTGTGAGAAGCACTCCTAAACAGGGCTTGTGAAAAGAGGGTAAAAGTTCTGCATGGAGGCACTGCAGGTCCTAGGCTGAGGTACATGTGTCTGGAACAAAGTATGGTTTGTTCTCTTCATCTCCCTCTCCAGTCCTCGAGTGACAGGAGGGGTGCTTGTGCCTTTTCCTCATGCTGTCACCATCTGCAGTTCAGTTAATATTTCCAACTTTTGCTGTGCTCAGTAATAGGAGAAGGATGAGTTTGGCATTAACAGTGGCCTGAGGCTGTGCCTTCACAGCATTGCCGTTAAGGAGTGATCCAGCTGCAAACTAACAAATAGATCTTTCTTCCATGTAAGTTAGAGGAATGCATGTTACAGCTTCTCAGGATAGATGGAAAGGCAATGATTTATTAAGGACTTAATTTATTATGCCGGGGAAGGAATTGTAATTACATCATTGTTGATTATGCTAGAGTTGCAAAGTACCTGATGCTGAAGGACATTAAAACCCCTCGCTTTCTGCTGGAGTTAACACGTGCTGTGGGTGCTCAAGGTTTTATTCTAGTTGCGTTACTATTTTCCTGACAGTCCCACAGGAGTATATCATTCTGCTCTTCCATCAAGGTGAAAGTTGGCACTAAATTGCTATCAGTGTGATTAGTAAAACCATTAGTGCAAATATGGCTCAGATGTTTTAAATCATCAGATCCACATCTTTATTGCCAGATTGATAATTTGTCAACCTTAATTGATTCATAAAGTATGTCATTGGATCTTCATTTGTTCTGGCCTCCTCAGAGGACAAATATGTTCTTGACTCTGAAATTTTTTACATTTCTGTACTTGGAACACTTGACTAATGCATGGTATTTTACAGCTTACGGGGTTTGGTTTTGGTTTTTTTAACTCCTGGATTGTTTTGAATTTGAGTGTTTGTTGCAGAAGATACCATTAAAGATGTGCTCTCTTTCTGTTGTTAAAGGTTATTGAGTTTGATGATGGATCGGGATCAGTTCTGCGGATACAGCCCCTGCGTGTTCATCGAGATGAAGCTATCTATGAATGCACAGCAACCAATAGTGTTGGGGAGATAAACACGAGTGCCAAATTAACAGTGTTAGAAGGTAAGTAGGAAGTTTTTTCATGGCTTAGGTGGCAGAAGACATGGCTTTGGCTTAGATAGCTATGTGTTGGCATGGTGGTTTTAAATGACATGGTGATACTCTGGCTTGGTTTGGAAATGCTGTGTTCATCTTGTGTCGTTTGCTAGAATCTCTTCTTTGTGATAGAAGCTAGTATTTTTCAGATAATCATGAAAAGATTGCAGATGATGAATTTTCTTTAAAGAGTGTTTTAGTTGTATAGTTGTGTTGTCTGAGGTGTGTTGTATCTGACTTGGAGGGCTAGCTAAAGAGATACTGGTATACTTTTCTCATCTGTGGTTTGATTGTAGAATTGTATCTGACAGGCAGAAACGTAATCCATGTTGCTGCACCTTCTGGATTAAATTGGCACAGTTCTTGAATAGATTTTCAGGTTATTCTTCGGATTTTGAGTTTGATGTGGAATTTAACTGGGTTTACTCTTCACTCTCCTCACAATTTGTTAGTCATTTTCTCCTGATAAGGAATAGATTTGGATCCTTATAGGCAGGTTTTAATTTGCTTGCTATGTTGTTTCTTCTAAATGGAATGTTTTGTGGAAGAGCAGCATATTAGATATCTAAGGCTTGTGATCAGTTGATGATTTTATTTTTAATATGAGTTTGTCAGAATTATTGTCTGCTTTTAAGGAAATGTGTTTTTTTTTCAGGACATGAATGTCTTGTAGTATTTAGATATAGGATTTTTTAAATACTGAGATGTTACAAACCTGGGGCATTTGGCTGAATGGCATTTTTTTACTTGCATTTATTGCGACAAGCAGGGAAAGGATTAGGCAGATTGCTTGGTGTATATGGATCGATGTAGAAACCTTTGAGTAAAGAAAAAACTAGACTGGAAAGCATTTATTGCTGTATGATTTGGAACCAGCAGAGACTGGTTATCCCAGTGGTGAGTGTGCCAGCCATACATGACAAGTCACCTATTGTCCCTTGTTCTCCCATCCCCATTCATAGCGCAGAGGTAATCATATTTTCCTCTCTGCTCTGTGACAAAGAATACATTAAACAACTGTAATGTGCTCAGACACTGTGGTGATGGGAATCAGAGAAATGATTCAGTACTTGATGTGATTGTGTATCTTGTTCCTGGAGGTGGGGCATCTTAAAGGATCAGCTTGCTCTTCAGTAGTGGTATTCTTAATAATAGGATAACAGGTGCTATAGACTTGAGAATTATTGGGGAGAAAAAGCAGATCTTTTTTGTTAGTTCTTACCTTTGCAGCCGTGTATGTGAGTGCATAAAGCTCAGTGGAGCTCTTTCAGCAGTTTACGTGCAGATCTGCATTTAAATGGTTCTTGCAACTGGATTTTTGTGATAGTAGATACTTGAATACCCAACTGTTCCAAGCACATTCCTGTTTCCTTTGGTTGCAGTTGTCTTTATGTATCTTAGATATGTATGCACATGCACACACATGCTAATAATTTATTTGCTCTGTGTTAAATGTTCAAAGGCCCACAGAGAGACACATTGCATAAAGCAGCACAACAGTATTTCTCAGCCCTGTGGTGCTCCTGCTGATTTCCTGATAAGGTAAAACTTGCAGACCACCACATAAACTGGGAATGTTCGGAAACACCAGAGACAGGAAAAGACATGCATGCATGCAGTTTGAGCTGCAGAAGCAAAAGTCACTACCGGTCAGGTGCGGAGCCTGCTTTTCTGTTTGGAAAATTCCTTTTATTTGGAATAGTGCTAGTTTTAACATGATCCCCTAAGGTCAAAAAAGATCTGCAGGCTTTAGGGGCTGCGTTTTGCTCTCAAAGTGAAGAGTATTGACCCCTTGCTGGGCACTCTTGTAATGGGCAAAATTAAGAAACATTGCTGTGTAACAGTTTGTATGTGCTCAAGCATATAGAGCCATGAGATTGATTACAGAGGATGAAGAGCTACATACACCTTTTATGTTCACTCAACAGACGAAGAGGATCAGTTCTGTTCTGATGTATCTGTATTTAAGAAAAAACATTTTATGTTGCTGTTTTCTGAGACTTCCTATGGACAGGTCTATGCATTTTTTTCAGTCCTGCTATCTTATTGTGTTGTCTGCCTTAGATTATGCTGGTTCTGCATTTTGGGAGGGTGAAATATTTTTTTTGTTATTAATGTTCCTTTGTTTGCTTATGTGTTCACAAAGTGGATATTGCAACTTGGTCTCCAGCTATGTTTGGTTGTATTGTAGTCTCAATGGCCTCCAAAAATAGTGATAAGTGCCCCACCTCTATTATGCCATCACTTTCCTAACATCAATTTTCCAAACGTATCTGAAAATGACACATTTCATGTGGAACCCTGATACCCTCAAGACTGTCAAGTAGAACTGGATTTTCTTTCAGCTTCTGGGGTTAAAATAATTTCTGTAATTGCTCTCAGGTGGCAGTTTGAGTGATGCAGGTATTCTGTACTTCCCTTCAAGAATTTGACTAATGCAGTGGTCCCTGGTGCATGACAAAGCTCTATCACAGACATCCTCATGGTTACATGCTGCTAAATATACAGCAGATATTGATTTTTACATTAAAAATCCTTTATAACAATAAGTTTTAATGCTTCTTCACAATTTGCCCTTTAGAACATAGGCCTTAACATGAAATCCAGAAGTCACAGTCAGGGTTTAGCAGGCTGTTATTAGATGTCTTTGTAGCTAACTAATCTGGAGCTTTATTTTATTTACATTTCTGCAATGTTTTACAGATCAGAGGCAGATAATCCTTTCTAATTGCCAACTTACTCCATTCAGAATATTAAGTGAGAAGCATGAGTCCAGTCTCCTGGAGGAACTGGGAATTCTCACACGAGCGAATCTCTTTTAGCAGTTTGATTCCCCACTGCCGTTTCATTCTCTGCTCCCATGTCCCTCATTTTTCCCTTCTAACTGCAAATCCTGTTGTGACTAAACTACGCATACTTAGTGTAACTGGAAATTATTTCTCCTGTTGATAGTAGGAGAAATAGATGTGCGTATACCTTCTCTTCTCATTTCTCTTGGGTAGCTGATAAGCTGAATTATGTATGAGTCATATTGAACATTTCTATCTTTTTTCCAATTATGACCTGAAGCAGCACAGAAGTACGTTCCTGCCTGTGTGGCAGAGGAGGAAAGCAGTGCAAGGGGAGGAGGGCTAGAATCAATAAGCTGACACACATTCCCAAGAAAAGCCTCAGGGACAGTTAGTGGCACTAACAAATTAATAAATATATTATTCAGTGATAATGATGAGAATTACAGGGCTTTTTAAATAGGGGGATTATATGAAATGTGAGTAGGAAGGATGCCAGCGTGGAAGAATGTGGCAGGAGGCTGACTGCAGGAGTGGTGTCCTTCCACAAGACTGCTCGTACATTCAGTGTTGCAGCTGCATGAGGAAAGGTGATGATAACAATGGTTGTCTCTAGTTGCCTGCACCACAAAGCATACCTGCAGTCTGTGGTTTCCAGCAGTCTCCACCCAACAAAAAGATAGGGAAAAGTGGGGGTGGGGGTGGGGGGGAAGTGTCTTCAAGGGATAGAGAAGAGTATATTGTTTCTTTGGGGAAGGAAGGGGGCTCAAATATAAAATATATTGTCAGTTCCTTCTCCCAGAACTTTCCAACTTGGACATTGTTACATATTTTTATTTCCAGAACTGGGAAACTTCTTAGCTGTAACTGCCCTTGATGCCCTGCAAACAGTCTGTCTTTTTTTTCACTCCCCTGTAACCTAGAGCATACAATCATATCCAAATGACACTGAATATATTTTGAGTTTCATTTCCCTTTGTTTTTAAGTAGGTTAAATGAAAATGAAAATATCATCTCCAATTTCCATTTCCAGCAGAGATCTATGCAAATCCCCTGTTCCCCTATCCCAGACTCCTAATCATGTGGCATGTAGTTATCTGCCTGGAGAGCACTGCCAGGCTCTGCAGGAGAGCAGCTCCTGGTAAAGAGGACAGACAGAAGAGCCGGGAAAGGGTCACACACACACTGGGTTTCAGTCTCAAGGTAACCTGTCAAGTTAAGTTTTACTGGCTGGCTTTGTGCTGACAGAAGTTGGTGAGGTTTGGTGTGTTTCAGTGGAGCCCTAGAAAGTACCGGAGTACAGCAGTTGTCCCAGGGTGGGAAGCACCTCTACCTTACCATAATTTGCTGTTTACTGAACCATGTCATGAGCTTAATTTCTTTCACCATCTGCCAGCTGCATTCCAGTTCCTGGGGTTACCCTGTTTGAAATGCAGTAAATGACAAACATTTGACTGTTACAAATGATTTCTGTGGAGAGCTAGATCTCAGAAGGCCTGAAACAATATGCCCCTTTTGTAAACAGTCTTCTAAAAGTGGTTTTGTCATTGGAATAGTAAACAGAAGTTAGCTATGTTTAATCTTTGTTTATGTTTAGTTAGTTACAAAAGGATCAGTTGGATCATTGTACTTTGGCTCACGTTCGTCTTCATTGCTTTTGCATCTTTTTGCCAAGAAGAATTTCTAGCAATGTGTTATGAAATTGAAACAATTACAGAAGGGAAATTGAATCTGTTTGGATGTAATGAACGTGTAAATGAATTAAGGCTCCCAGTACCCTGCTGCTGCTGGGATTGGTAGCATTCTCTGCATGTCTCTGGTCAGGAGAGGGACAGGTCTTTACTCTTTCGTGTAACTGTTGTGACTTGCTTTGGTCTCTCCCGGGGGAAAAAAGACTGCTGTGATGACAGAGGTCCCACTCCTGCTCTCTGCACAAGCAATCCAAGTAGTACTTTATGAGACAGGCAGTTAATGGACCTCTGTAATTATTGCATTTCCTAGAGCTGCAGCACAGTGAGTCTCCACATGCTTCCCTGCTGAGGGAAACGTCCTGAAGTACAACGATGCACAGAGAAATGAAGAAGCCTGACTCTGTTTGCTTTGCATTGGATTGTGGCATGTCCCATGCTTGTTAAAAAGGGAAACATTAAGCCAATTACTCATTGTGGCCTCATTGAC